GGGGGGGGGGGAATATAACCATCCTTAGCAGGTCTACGCAGAACTAAGTCCCTTTTTATTCATTCCAGCTTACTTCCAGGAAAGCACACTTACGACTGCAACCACCGTGACACAAACACACAGACAGACACACATGTGGGGGCGGCCAAATGGAGATAGGACCTCACTGCGCATGCACATTTACAGTTTAATCTTAAGAAGGGAAGGCGGGATATAAATCAAATTAAATACATAAATAATAAATAAATTAGGATTGCACTGTTAATCAGCTTTTGTCTACACAGGAGAGGAAGCAGAAAAACCATCATATGTGAACTGGCCCTAATTCTTACTAAACTATATACGCTCACATATTTATCTAGCATTAACTGTAAAAATGGAACGAAGTGTAACCATGACACGAGGGAAAATTCAAGGCAAAAAAAAAAGGGATGTCATTTAGAAAATGAACAGCACAGTTCAAGGGTATCTGACACTCCATTTTTCAATTTCTCTCAGTTTTTACTAGCGGTATTTTGAGACTTTGAAGCCTGAAATGTAAATATTTTTAATACATTTGTAAATTGGCAAGCGCGGATGAGCTGGATCATAAATTACTCAAAGATATACTCGGGCAGTGTGCTTACTTAACAGTGCAATCCCAAACAGAGCTACAAATTTCTAAGTCCATGGGGTTAGAAGGGTTTAACTCTATTTAGGATTGCACTGCAACTCACATATTTTGTTTGGCAAACTGCACCCAACCCAGACGTAATGCTTTAAAGCATGTGTGATGCTGTCCTGGAGAAATCAAACAACTTATAAAAATGAAATAATAACCCATAACAAAGGCAATATCTCATGTTCTGATATAGGTTTCGAACTAAACAAGGTAGAGAATCCATAAGGGCTGAGAAGGGTGCATGAAGCCGCAGACTTTACTTCCGCAACAATTTCCGCCATAACAGCTGACATTACCAAAGAGATAAGCCACCGTTCGAGCTTTGAGGGAGGCCTGCCTCTTCAGTATTACCGTGCTAATAACATTCAAGAAACATTAGGCTACAATGCTCAGCTCTCAAGTTTTTGTTGCTTTGGACTGCAGCTATAGTCGATTTGGAACGTTGGAAAGAAAACTGCACAGGAAACTGACTCAAAGAGTAAGATCGGAGTATTCAAAGCATGAACTTGGATGCCAACGTTGAATCAAATGCCAGCCAACAAGGCCAAAGGCGCCTTGGGCCTGTGTTCCTTGAAGAGGAATTCCCTCTCCCCCAAAAGCCACACTGCAGAAAAGATTGCATACCATGCCAGGTTCACAGCCCGTCCGGAACCGTTTGGTGCCTTGCCCTACCTAACACAGAGCCTTGTGTCTGACAAAGGGCCAACGGAAGGGGACATGGCACTTTCTCTTGATCCAGGAGGATTCATCCCAAGTGTCAGGGGACTCTGGTGGTCCATGCAGGTCCAGAGGTCTCCAGTGGGGGGTGGGGAAGATGTTGACAGATGAGGAAGCGATGAGGGACTGTGGCTCAGCGGGAGAGGCTCTGCTTGACATGTAGAAGGTCCCACTTTCAGTCCCCAGATTCTCCAAGTAAAGCATCTGGCAGTAGGGGACCTCTGCCCGAGACCCTGGAGGATGTCTGAGTAGATAATACTGACTCCGATGGGCCAAGGGTCTGATGCAGGAGAATGCAGTCGCATGGATGCGTCCACGATTCACCCCCTTCCCCTCCCTGACCTGTTGTCAGCAAGCTGCCATTCTGTTTTCTGTGACCTCTGTGTACATATCCTTTCCCTGTTGCACCCGGCTTGTTTTCTATCATCCTGCTCCTGCGTTGGAATGCACAAGATAACTGCTGGAGGTTGTGTGGGGGAGAAGATGCTGTAATGCTTGCCTATTGCTTTTCTCATGAGTCCTGCACCTGTGTTTTGTCTGATGTTCTGCCTGGTTCCCATGGACTGGGCGCGCAACCGTTTCATTAGCCCGCCAGCGGGAATGCTATTCATTGGATCTGTATCTGTTTGAATTTCCTTTATTATGCTTGACCTAACTGTGTATCCCCAGTTCTAACAAAGAACGTGTTTGAGTATGTCTTCAACGCTTTGAAATAAATTTTGCTTTTCTTGAAAACGTGGATTTATTCTCGATGCTTGGGGATCCAACACCAACCAGTTCCTACAAAGGGCTAACAACAGGGCAGAGAGGCCGAGGCCTTCATAAGAAGAGCCCTGCTGGATCAGACCAGGGGTCCCCCTAGCCCAGCATCCTGTCTCACACAGGGGCCAGCCAGTTCCTCCAAAGGGCTAACAACAGGGCATAGAGGCCGAGGCCTTCATAAGAACACAAGAAGAGCCCTGCTGGATCAGACCAGGGGTCCACCTAGCCCAGCATCCTGTCTCACACAGGGGCCAACCAGTTCCTCTGGAGGGCCAACAGCAGGGCACAGAGGCCGAGACCTTCCCCTGATGTTGCCTCCTGGCTCTGGGATTTTTATGTTCTGTGCCTTGGGGACCCTGACCAATGTTCCCTCTAAGCTATGGAGTCCTGTGAGCAAAAATTCTACTTTGTGAGCGACTGGCGTTAAAGTTAAGAGCAAACGATACTGGCGACTGCATAAATTAGCTTGCTCTGGAGACCATCCTTTCTGAGCTGAGACAAAGATGTGTGAGCTGGAGGCTAAAAAACTGTGAGCTAGCTCACACTAACTCAGCTTAGAGGGAACACTGACCCTGACTGGTTGGAAAGGTGGCATAAAAATGGCTTAAATAAGTAAAATAAATTGCACTGGTTCAGGACGGGAGAAGTATTGCCTGCTTGGGCCATCCAGATGCTAGGCCGGGGACATTGTTCCATTCCTCAGCCTTCAAGTTCTAGTCTTAAAAACGAAATGGAACTACTGATCTCTCTCTCTCTCTCTCTCTCTCTCTCTCTCTCTCTCTCTCTCTCTCTCTCTCTTCCCAGTTCCAGCAGCTTCGTGAGCAGATGGAGGCCGAGATCAATCGCCTGAAGCAGGAGAACGGTATCCTAAGAGACGCCGTCAGCACGTCCACCAACCAAATGGAAAGCAAGTACGCTATTGGTGATTCCGCAGAACCGCCTGCCCTGAGTAGTTTTTTTTTTTTTTAACTGGCCCTTGGGGTGTTTGTGTAAGCCAGTACACAGTGTGTATTCTTTTCTCTTTTTTTGTAAATATATTTATTGGGTTTTTACCATTATACACCTAAATTATACATACATACAGAGTAGGCAACAAGAATACACCAGACATTACTAAACATCACTTTCTTCCCAACAACACAGAAAAAACCTACCCTTCATTTAGCTTGTAAGAAAGTATACTCTTATCGTTACTCTTACACAGTGTGTATTCTTGAGGGTTCTGAAGAGAGCCATCTTGGTTTAGTGATTAAGAGGGCCGGACTCTAATCTGGAGAGCCGGATTGGGTTCCCCACTCCTTCGTGTGAAGCCAGCTGGGTGACCTTGGGTCAGTCACAGTTCTCTCAGAGCCATCTCGGCCCCACCTGCCTCACAAGGTGTTTGTTGTGGGGAGAGGAAGGGAAAGGTGATCGTAAGCTGCTTTGAGACTCCTTAGGGTAGGGAAAAACGGGGTATAAAACCAACTCCTCTTCTTCGTCTTTTAACTGTGCAGGACGCTTCCGTTACACCTACTGCAATGCAGTCAGGAGTCATAAAGTTTAGGGAGAAACAGCTGGTGCGTTCTTTCAAGTCATAACGTTGCCTGTGCCTTCATCACCTTAGGCCTGAGAGGCAAATAGCAACCTTGAGGGGCATTTTGAACTATTGTGGGCAAATGAGCGAGATTTGGGATTTTAAGAACATTAGAACATAAGAGAAGCCAAAGTTGGATCAGGCCAATGGCCCATCTAATCTAACACTCTGTCACAAGGTGGCCAAAAATACCGGATGCCATCAGGAGCACCACTTCCTGTGGCAGTGAATTCCAAGTGTTAATCACTCTTTGGGTGAAGAAGTACTTCCTTTTATCCGTTCTAACCCGACCGCTCAGCAATTTCATGGAGTGCCCACGGGTTCTTGTATTGTGAGAAAGGGAGAAAAGTACCTCTTTCTCTACCTGCTCTTTCCCATGCATAATCTTATAAACCTCGATCATGTCACCCCTCAGTCGTCTTTTCTCCAAGCTAAAGAGCCCTAAGCGCCTTAACCTTTCCTCATAGGGAAAGTGTTCCAACCCTTTTATCATTCGAGTTGCTCTTTTCTGCACTTTTTCCAAAGCTATAATATCCTTTTTAAGGTGTGGTGACCAGAATTGCACACAGTATTCCAGATGAGGTCGCACCATTGATTTATATAGCGGCATTATGATATTGGCTGATCTGTTTACAATACCCTTCCTAATAATCCCCAGCATAGCATTGGCCTTCTTTATTGCAGTCACACACTGTCTCGACATTTTCAGTGAGTTATCTACTACAACTCCAAGATCTCTCTCTTGATCAGTCTCTGCCAGTTCAGACCCCATCAACGTGTATTTATATTTAGGATTTTTGGCTCCAATGTGCATCACCTTGCACTTGGCCACATTGAACCCCATTTGCCATGTTGACGCCCACTTGCCCATCTTTGACAGATCCCTTTGGAGTGCCTCACAATCCTCACTGGTTTTCACCACCCTGAACAACTTCGTATCATCCGCAAATTTAGCCACTTCACTGCTTACTCCCAACTCCAAATCATTAATGAACAAGTTAAAAAGCAGTGGACCAAGTACTGATCCCTGTGGTACCCCACTGCTTACCCCCCTCCACTGGGAGAACTGCCCATTTATACTCACTCTCTGTTTTCTATTAATTAGCCAGTTTTTGATCCATAAAAGGACTTGTCCTTTTATCCCATGATTTTTGAGCTTACTTAGGAGCCTTTGATGAGGAACTTTATCAAAAGCTTTCTGGAAGTCAAGGTAAACAACATCTATTGGATCCCCCTTGTCCACATGTTTGTTCACCCCCTCAAAGAACACTAACAGGTTAATGAGACAAGATCTTCCCTTACCCCTTCTTGTCATCTAAAAGCCCTGACTGATAGCCACCACACACAAGGGTGGAATCCACTGCCACGGGAAATGGCAGCTATAAGCATAGACAGCTTCAAGGGGGGGGATTGAATAACCATATGCAGCAGAGGCCTCCCAAATCCTACACTCTTAACCTCTGCATCGTGATTGCTCTCAAGAAGCAATGTTTCATTCAAGCAAAAGAGTGCACTGTGGGATTCTCTGTTTCTGCTGAATTTCCTTTTTGCGGGGGGTGTCTGTGTGTCCGTCTTAGATTGTCACAGGGGTAACCGCGGGCATCACAGCTGCAGGATTTTCAGTGCTTTTTCTGAATGCTCCCAATAATTTCCTTACTCCCAATTCCCGGTGGCAACTGCCCAGCCTCCTCTGGGTGCCGTCTCGCTGTCTCCAACACTGCCCATCGCTGCCCCGCCCCAGTGTGAACAACGAGGCTCTCCCTTTCAATCCAGGCAGTCTTCCGAGCTCAACAAACTGCGCCAGGATTGTGCCCGGCTGGTGAACGAGCTCACGGAGAAGAACAGCAAGTTGCAGCAGGAGGAACTCCTGAAGAAGAACGCGGAGCAAGCCATCAATCAGCTGAAGGTAAAAACGCCTCTGTTAAATGATCGAAGTCCGGTGGCTATTATCGAAGACATAAGTGGTTTTAATTCCCATATCTGCATCCTGGTGTCCTCCTCTAGCAGCGTGTCGCAGTCCTTTTGCCACTCTGCTTAGTAGCGGCAGTGTTCACCAAGTTTTTTTTTAATTATTATATTTTTTCCATGTTACAATCAAGCACATCCCTATTCCCACACGTATTGTATACTCTACCCTCCCTCCTCCCTCCTCAGTTTATAGCTGTTTCTGTATCTTCGGCAATAGTCCTTTATATAAATCCTCCTCCTGTCTTTCTTGCTTCCTCTATTTCCTCCCGTCCTTCATACTTTTCTCCTTCCTTTTTCTCTTTAAATTCGTCACCGAAGATTATTCCTGTTCTGTAATCAGAGGTGGGGAGTTTTAGTATAACTTGGATGGTTATTTTTCTCACGTATTATTCTGCCTTTTCTTATTTTCTATCCCCCCACCTTCTTAACTACTTATCCTTTCTAGCCAGGGGCACAAACTTAGGAGCTTCCACTGAACGTCAGACCTTTGACCTTCCATGACCCATTTTAAATACAAATGCCACTTTTTCTTAATCTTCCCTATTTTTGCTTCCCATTGTTCTTCTTGGTTAGTAATAGTTATTATGTCTGATTTAATGTATTCAAATAAGTAATTCTGCCAATTTACTACTGTCCATTTGGTTCACCAAGTTGATGCCACCGGTACCCATGCTCTGTTCAAGGGAAGTGGGTGGAACTCATGTGAAGGCAGGGCCTGCGATTGGCTGCCTTCATGCAAACAAAGTTCCTTCCCGCACTCCTTAGTGTCCTTCTGGATGTGCATTGTCCTTCTTTGTCCATATGTGTAGTTCCCTTTCCCCCTTACTCTAGTGTGTTCGTGCGTACTTGGTTCCAGTTCCTGCGGAAGCCGTTTTGTGGTGATGACCAGCACTCTTTCAAAATACCAGAGGAGCCCACAGCCTCAGAATAGGTTGGGCACAGAGTTCCCTCTAAACTGAGATAGCCTGAGATAGCTCACAATCTTTTAGCCTCTGGCTCACACATTTTTGTCTTAGCTCAGGAAAGATGGCTCCAGAGCAAACTGATTTATGCAGTAGCCAAATCACTCACTCACAACCAGTTTGATGTAGTGGTTAAGTGAGCGGAGTCTAATCTGGGAGAACCAGGTTTGATTCCCCACTCCTCCATTTGCACCTGGCTGGATGACCCTGGGCAAGCCGTAGTTCTGACAAGAGCTGTTCTTGAAAAAAGAGCAGTTTCTGTCAAGAGCTCTCTCAGCCCCACCTACCTCCCAGGGTGTCTGTTGTGGGGAGGGGAAGGGGAAGGAGTTTGTAAGCCGCTCTGAGACTCCCTTGGGTAGTGAAGGGCGGGGTATAAATCCAATCTCTTCTTCTACCTCACAGGGTGTCTGTTGTGGGGAGGGGAAGGGAAAGGAGTTTGTAAGCCGCTCTGAGACTCCTTTCGGTAGTGAAGGGCGGGGTATAAATCCAATTCTCTTCTTCTACCTCACAGGGTGTCTGTTGTGGGGAGGGGAAGGGAAAGGAGTTTGTAAGCCGGTCTGAGACTCCTTTCGGTAGTGAAGGGCGGGGTATAAATCCAATCTCTTCTTCTCTTCTTCTTCTAATGCCAGTAGCTCACAAATTAGAATTTTTGCTCACAAGACTCCACAGTTTAGAGGGATCCCTGCTCTGATTTGAAAAATGTGGGAAAATTAGGCCAGTGTTTGAGAGAATGCAACCTTTGCATCACACTTGCAAGTTATCACAACTCTCAGGACAATGAAACCCCCAGGGCTTAACAGAGATATCGGGTTCTTATCTCACGACACATGCTGAGTTACTCAGTTCTCACGTATACCCAGAATTAAACTTTATGTGTCTTAAAGGTGCCACTGGACTCAAATATTGTTCCGTTATTTTTTCCTTTGTGCCATATTTCGTCTTCTCTTCCCAAAGTCATTGATTCCTTTTTTTTTTTTAGTATTGCTATGTGGCCCCTACTCACTTCCTCCAAAGTCCAGAAGAAGCAAGCAGGGGAAACTTGCAGGATCAGCTTGATTAGATTTTAACGCTGTGCCCTGTTCAAAGATGGTTACAAAACATATGCAGGGGCTGTTCTTTTAGCATGTGAGGGGGCGGAGGCTGTTGTGCAGTCAGGTGATCATTCTTGGTTTCTGTAACTTCCAGGCTCAGCAGCAGGACGCCGAACGGCGATGGGAGGAGATGCAGACCTACCTCCGCAAACGGACAGCAGAGCACGAGGCCGCCCAGCAGGGTGAGCGCAGAGGGAGCCCTCCCTGCTTCTAAATAACGTCCTCTCCACACCTTACAGTACCGTAGATGGGGAGGAGCTGCGGTTCAGTGGCTGAGCGTGTTTCGCATGCAGAAGGTCCCCGGTTCAATCCCCGGCATCTCCAGCTAAAAGGACCAGAGAGTACGGAAATAAACACATGTATGCACATGTGTTTGTGGAGGGCCTGAGACTCAGTGGCAGAATATCTGTTTGGCATGCAGAAGGTCCCCGTTCAGTCCCCAGCATCTCATGAGCACATGAAGCTACCTGAAGTTATTCTGTGGTCCATCAGATTTAGTATTGTCTACTCAAACCGGCAGCAGCTCTCCAGGGTCTCAGGCGGAGGTCTTTCACATCAACTACCACCTGGTCCTTCTAAACGGAGATGCCGGGAATTGAACTTGGGGCATTATGCATGCCAAGTAGAGGCTCTGCCAGTGAGCCACAGCCCCTCTCCAGCTAAAGGGACCAAGTAGGAGGTGATGTGAGAAACCTTAGCCTGAGACTGAGGAGATCTGCTGCCTGTCTCAGTAGGTAGTACTTACTTTAAGAGACCAATGGTCTGAGTCAGGGGTCATTTCGTAGAAAAAGAGGTGCAGGAGCTCATTCGCATAACTCATTGGCATATGCCACACCCCCTGACATCACCGGAAGTGTGTCAGAAGGCAACACCCACCGCTCAGGCTCCACTGGACTGTTTTAGATTGCTAGCTATTGGGCGGGGGGGACATGCAGATCTGTCCTCACAGAGGAGGGAGAGCTTGTACCTGAATAAAACCTGGTCTTAAAGGTGCCACTGGACTGTTTTGGATTGCTAGCTATGGGAGGGAGGGGAATGCGCAGATCTGCCCTCAGAGGAGGGAAAGCTTGTACCTGAATAAAACCTGGTCTTAAAGGTGCCACTGGACTGTTTTGGATTGCTAGCTATGGGAGGGAGGGGAACGTGCAGATCTGCCCTCGCAGAGGAGGGAAAGCTTGTACCTGAATAAAACCTGGTCTTAAAGGTGCCACTGGACTGTTTTGGATTGCTAGCTATGGGAGGGAGGGGAACGCGCAGATCTGCCCTCACAGAGGAGGGAGAGCTTGTACCTGAAGGTGGCGGGGGGCTCTGCAACTTACCTGGCTGCTTCTTGCTCCTTGCGGCCCGACTGAGGGCTGCTGGGAGCAGGGGGCGGGGCTTGTTGCATGTGCCCACCCCCTGGGCTCCTTACTGCCGGAGCTCCGCTCCTGTGCGCTCCTGCGGGAAATGACCCCTGGTCTGAGTCAGTATAAGGCACATACATCCTCACCTATGAACACATGAAGCTGCCATATACTGAATCAGACTTTGGTCCATCCAAGTCAGTACTGTGTCTACTCAGACTGGCAGCCGCTCTCCAGCATCTAAGGTTGAGATCTTCCGCATCTCGTCTACTACCTGATCCTCACTTGGCGATGCCTGGGGATTGAGCCTGGGACCGTCTGCGTGCCAAACGGTTGCTCTGCCACTGAGCGTAAGACACAGGGAGGGGGACAACAAACCTGACCCAAAAACTGGAATCAAGAACCACACGGGTAAGAAAGAAGTCAAAGACAGGGCCAGTATAAAAAACCTAGTTGAAACTTATAGTATACAAAAATACATGTCTTTATTAGAAAGACAGTTAAAAACATACATAAGGGGCCCAATGAAAGCCTCGTAAACAAGTACAGGTGGCCGAAACACAAGGACCGACACATGTGACCTGACGCGTTTCCGCCCGATTGGGGCCTTTCTTCAGAGGTCTTGTCATCTTTGTCTTGTGTCTTTAGGTCTTCCTGCTTAACCTTCCTTTTCTTGGTCCAATATTCGCTTATTGGTTATCTTATTGTAATATGTACTAAAGACTCCGCCTGAGACTCTGTCTTATTGTAATATGTACTTTCGTAGAGAAAGAGGTGCAGGAGCTCATTAGCATAACTTATTAGCATAACTTGTTTGCATACACCACACCCCCTGACATCACCGGAAGTGTGTCAGAAGGCAGCACCCACCGCTCAGGCTCCACTGGACGGTTTTGGATTGCTAGCTATTGGGGGGGGGGGGAACATGCAGATCTGCCCTCACAGAGGAGGGAGAGCTTGTACCTGAATAGAACTTGGTCTTAAAGGTGCCACTGGACTGTTTTGGGCCGGGGGGGGGAGGGCTCTGCAACTTACCTGGCTGCTTCTTGCTCTGACTGGGGGGTGCTGGGAGCAGGGGGTGGAGCTTGTTGCATGTGCGCACCCCCTGGGCTCTTTATAGCCGGCGCTCTGCTCCTGTGCGCTCCTGCAGGAAATGACCCCTGGTTACGTGTACCCCAATCGGGTGGAAACGCGTCAGGTCATGTGTATCGGCCCTTGTGTTTAGGCCACCTTTACTTGTTTACGAGGCTTTCATTGGGCCCTTATCTATGTTTTTAACTGTCTTTCTAATAAAGACATGTATTTTTGTATATTATAAGTTTCAACTAGGTTTTTGATATTGGCCCTGTCTTTGACTTCGCTCTACCACTGAGCGACAGGCCCTTCACCAAAACTGGGAGGGGTCGATCGGGGTCAGTCTCGTCTGCTCCGATGGTCAGAGGCCCTCTGTGAACATTCGGTGGGCTGGCGAGAGGGTTCCCAACCTTCCGATCAGGCCTGGAGATCTCCCAAAATTATAAGCAAGCTTCAGTCTACAGAAATCACTTCCCCCGGAGGAAATGGCTGCTGTCGAGGGTGGACCCTGTGGCATTTCTCCCCGCTAAGATCCCTCCCTTCCCCCGGCTCCCCTCCCCAAACCTCCAGGCATTTCCCAGACCTGGAGATGGCAACCCTTGCTGGTGGCCCTGTAAAGTCTGAAAGGGCTCTAGTCCAAAGGGAACTTCCAAGGTTACTTTTTTGTGTGTGAGTGCAGAGGTCATTTCGGGGGGATCGCGGTTCCCCCGGGTGAGGTGGGGGGGCGGGGCACATGACGAAGCCCTGCCCCCTGCTTCCGGCCGCCCCGCTTCCGGCCCTCATTCAGCCAGGAGGAGGCAAAAGAAGAGGGAGGGTAATTTGCTTCCTCCCTGCCTCTCCCCACCCCTGCCTGCCTGGGGCCAGGGAGGGCCTTCGCGGGGCTTCCTTGCACTCCCGCCGGCCTTGCAGGTCCACCGCCGGGCCCCTCATGGGGCTCGTCACTGGAGCTGCAAGGCCGGCGGCCGGGACCATTGGGGGCAGGGGGTGTGGCCTTATGACACACTTCCGGTGATGTCAGGGTGTGTGGCATATGCTAATGAGTTATGCTAATGAGTTCCCCTAGCTCTTTTTCTACGAAATGACCCCTGTGTGAGTGTAAGTTTTATGCTGTGTATGAAGTGTATGTGGAGGGGGGGGTTGTTTGCACCTTTCAACCTTTCCCCCTCCTTTGTCGCTTCCGACGGCAGATGTCCAGAGTAAGCTTGTGGCCAAGGACAACGAGATCCAGAGCCTGCACAGCAAGCTGACGGACACCATGGTCTCCAAGCAGCAGCTGGAGCAGAGAATGATGCAGCTGATGGAGGCGGAACAGAAGAGGGCGACGGCCGAGGATTCGATGCAGAGGCAGGTTCAGGTACGGGACGGCCCGGTGACGTGCCTGGCTCTCGCGGGACCTCCACGGTTTCCCTTCCTCCCAGATTGACAGGCCACGCAAACAGCGGGAGGATTGAGGGCGGGGACATGGGGGGCTTCGGCATCACGTGCACTGTTACATCTCTTCCCGGGGAAACCCGGAAGTGCCAGGGTAGCTCTAGGAAGCGCCAGAAACTCTATGGTAAACAGGCAAGCGGGACTTGGGGGTGGGGGATTCTCCACCCCAGACTGGGGGCAAGCCTATTAGACTTCATTCCGTGTGCTAATACTTTGTTCAATAGAAGGCAGCTTCACCTGTTCACGTATTGGCTTTTGAACTCACAGAGGCAGCATTAAACAATACGTATGCTGATGTAAATATAAATTGTTCAGAATGAGGTGAGCAGCTCATATCTCTCAAGGAAGCATTGGGCACTTGGTTTCTACATATGCCGTGGCTGCCTCTTTCTCTTCCTATCCTCAGTGCATTGTGGGACATCCATCAGGCACTTGGTTTCTACATATGCCGTGGGTGCCTCTTTCTCTTCCTATCCTCAGTGCATTGTGGGACATCTTCACCATGTGTCACATGAACACATGAAGCTGCCTTCTACCGAACCAGACCCCCTCGGTCCATCAGAGTCAGTCTTGTCTACTCAGACTGGCGGCGGCTCTTCAGGGTCTCAGGCAGAGGGCTTTCACATCACCTGGTCCTTTTAACTGGAGATGCCGGGTAGAGATGTAAAATTTCTGGAAATTTTGAAGCTCGGGAAAAAACCAGAAATTTTCGGAAAAATTGAAAAAAATGCTACATTAGCATTTCTTTTGTCTTTTCGACTTTGAAAGTCATTCTGTTACTTTAGGAACATAAAATAAGACTATGGACATTTTTACTTGGCATGAAATTATCACAACTAGCATATTAAAAATATAGTGTAGCCAAACAATTATTACGGAATACCCACCCACATGCAAAAACAAAACTGAAACCGTTTCATTTTCTTCTGACAATAGCACCTCCTAAAGGAAGAAATGCATCTTGTTCTTGCATTGGAGAGTTCAGTTTGTAACCTAGGACTTGCTTGTCAGTGCACAGAAATTACATCAATCTGATACCATATATATATATTTTAGAAACGATTTGGAAAATATTTGAACACCTTGTCTTAAAATATTTTATTCATCATGTTAAAATAAAACGTTCCATAATCAATTTTTTTCTTTTCTTTTTTCAATTTTTCCAATTTTTTGGAAAAAACCCAAAAGGCTTCAGGAAAAAAATGGAAAAAAACAGTTCCCCCCCCAAATTTTTCCATTTTTTTTCCCGGGCCTTCACATCTCTAATGCCAGGGATTGGACATGGGACCTTCTGCATGCCAAGCAGATGCTCTGCCACTGAGCCACAGAGGGCTTAATGGTTCAAGTGGAGTCCTCTGGTGGGAAATTGCTTGAGCCTCTGTGTGTGTGTGTGTGTGTGTACACATGCAGTACCATTTCAGAGTGACATATTCCTTGTAAGTTTTGTTCACTCGGTCGTCTTTTTTCTTTTTGCCTTCCCTTTCCGAAAGGAGCTGATGGAACAGAACGAGGCTTTGAAAGCTCAGGTCCAGAAGTTCCATTCACAAATGGCGGTTCAGGTACGCGGTCGGTAGAGCACCTGTTTGTTTTCCGCCGTTCAGGGGTCCCTTACCCCCTCGCCTTTGGGCCATTTTAGGATTCTGAGGGGAGGTTGGTAGCACCGCCCTAAAATGGCGGCCACGGGAGACAGAGCCAAACCCAAAATGGCTGCTCTTGCAGCAATGGAAACATTTCCCTTGAACGAGGTCCAATTTCAGTGGCCCCGGCCCCTTTCCGAGAAGCTTGCTGAGTGCCAGGAGATGGTGGCATATTGGGGAACCCTGCTGCAGTAGTTTCCAGGCAGGATTAGGAGCAGGGAAATCCCGGTTCAGATACCCCCTCCCAGCTTGAAGGACACTGGGTATCCTTGGACCAGTCACAAACTCCACCTAACCTGTCTGTGCAGGGCTGTTGGGAAGATAAAATGGGAAGGGGGTGTATACCGTCTGTGCTTCCCTGAGCCCCTTTGAAGGAAGGTGTCACGACTCAGGAGGGGTGTCACCTGACGCTGCCACCACTCTAGATTTAGGTTCCCTTGAGAAGGCCTAGAGCACCCTCCCAAGACCTTCAGACCTCCCTTTAGGTCGAATAACAGGCAGAGTAAAGCAAGGGAAAGGTTTATTTTATAGGAGGTTAAACAACAAGGTGCAGGAGAATAACAGTAAGTGGGTGAAAAGAAAAGAAATCAAATGCCCTTACGCGTCTCAATATATACTGTCCCTAGCTCACTATCTCAAGTGGCCTTACACTACTCACCCCTCCCACAGGATGAGGGTTTTTCCCCTGCAGCAGCCTCTCTTCTGGCTCTGCCCTCTGGAAGAAAGAACAGCTCTTCCTGCTGCTCCAGAACTTTTATTCCAAGCCCTCCTCTTTTCCCATTGGTCCATTTTGGCTCCAAAACCTCCCAGGGGCTTCTGGGAATTGTAGGCCCAGCCTCAACTACTGCTAGGCAGGCTCTCTCGGCCTAGTAGGCCTCTGGTAGCACAGCCCAGATCATGACAGCAGGTTAGGATTTTAAAAAATGCAATCAATTCAACTTGCTAAGTAATTAACTTGGGAATTAGCACGTGGGACGAAGCATGCGAAAAGTCTGTATTGAAGAGAACTGCAGCCTCTGATTTGATCATTCTTTCAAGTAAAAGCCTAAGAACGTCAGAAGAGCCCTGCTGGATCAGATCAGTGGTCCATCTAGTCCAGCATCCTGTCTCACACAGTGGCCAACCAGTTCCTCTGGAGGACCAACAAACAGGGCATAGAAGCCGAGGCCTTCATAAAAACATCAGAGGAGCCCTGCTGGATCAGACCAGTGGTCCCTCTAGTCCAGCCTCCTGTCTCACACAGTGGCCAACCATTTCCTCTGGAGGGCCAACAACAGGGCAGAGAGGCCAAGGCCTTCGTAAGAACATAAGAGCACTGCTGGATCAGAGCAGTGGTCCATCTAGTCCAGCCTCCTGACTCACAAAGTGACCGAACTGTTCCTCTGGAGGGCCAGGAACAGGGCACAGAGGCCGAGGCCTTTGTAAGAACATAAGAAGAGCCCTGCTGGATCAGACCAGTGGTCTGTCTAGTCCAGCATCCTGTCTCACACAGTGGCCAACCATTTCCTCTGGAGGGCCAACAACAGGGCAGAGAGGCCAAGGCCTTCGTAAGAACATAAGAGCACTGCTGGATCAGAGCAGTGGTCCATCTAGTCCAGCCTCCTGACTCACAAAGTGACCGAACTGTTCCTCTGGAGGGCCAGGAACAGGGCACAGAGGCCGAGGCCTTTGTAAGAACATAAGAAGAGCCCTGCTGGATCAGACCAGTGGTCTGTCTAGTCCAGCATCCCGTCTCACAAAGTGGCCATCCAGTTCCTCTGGAGGACCAACAACAGCCCTCTGTGTGAGACAGGATGCTGGACTTGATGGACCCCTGGTCTGATCCCAGCAGGGCTCTTCTGATGTTCATATTTTCTTGTGTTATCAGAGCAGTGGACAACAGGGGCTGCTGCCCTGGGCCCCACACAAGGAGGGGTAAGAGAAGGTCAAGCTCCTGCTGCCGTTCTCATGGGGCCAGGCCACCCTTTGCTTGTTCCTTGGGGGGGGGGCAGTGTTTCTGGAGTCCCATCCTCGACTTTTGCCCAGGGCCCCAGAATGGCTGAGACTGCCCCTGCCTAATATAACCATCCTTGATGGGAGAGACCCGAACCTGTCGCGTCGTTGATCATGCAGGGAAGGAGACCCATTTGCAGTGACTTGAGAATGTCTGTTATTTTGTTTTCTTCTGTCACGGTAGGAAATGGGTTGCTGTAACATTTATTATCAACCTCACTGTTTCCAGTCAGGTCTTCTTAAGAATGTAAGAAAGAAGGAGAGGTGGAACCATGCATGTGTTCTGGCAGAAGGTTAAGAACATAAGAGAAGCCATGTTGGATCAGGCCAATGTACCATCCAGCTCAACACTCTGTGTCACTCAGTGGCCAAAACCCAGTGGCCATCATGAGGTCCACCTTCAGGGCCAGAACTCCAGAAGCCCTCCCACTGTTGCCCCCCAAGCACCAAGAATACGCAGCATCACTGCCCCAGACATAAGAACATAAGAGAAGCCATGTTGGATCAGGCCAATGGCCCATCCAGGCTAACACTCTTGTGTCACACAGTGGCCAAAATCCAGGTGCCATCAGGAGGTCCACCATCAGGGCCAGAACTCCAGAGGCCCTCCCACTGTTGCCCCCCAAGCACCAAGAATACGCAGCATCACTGCCCCAGACATAAGAACATAAGAGAAGCCATGTTGGATCAGGCCAATGGCCCATCCAGGCCAACACTCTGTGTCACACAGTGGCCAAAACCCAGGTGCCATCATGAGGTCCACCAGAGAGGGCCAGAACTCCAGAAGTCCTTCTACTCTTCCTCCCACCCAAGCACGAAGAATGCAGAGCATCACTTGCCCCACACAGAGTGTTCCATCTATACCTTGTGGCTAAGAGCCACTGACTTCCAACAGGTCCCCTCATTAGAGCCACACCTTTCAGCTGTATGTCTTCTGTCTTTCAGAACTCTGCTTCAGTCCTGGCAGAAGAACTCCACAAAGTGTAAGTATTCCCCCTCCCTCCCCCAGTCTCTTCTGTGTCTGTGACTTTCTTATAGTTGAAATATATCATCAGCTTTTCTTTTTAGCCCAGGTAAACTCACTACTTTTGGCAGAAACAGTGTGCCGTTGCGTTGGAGTCCCTTTAGCCTAGAGATCTTGTCCGTGCGAAAGAGCAGACATTGAATCACTAACTCATTTCTTCTTGAGTTGTGGTTCATAGTCTACTCGAAGGGCTTGCTTTATGAAATCTCATCTGGCCAAGTTTCTGGGCTGTTTGCACGATTTTCACCTTTATTTGTCTTGGCTGGTAGCGATAGGGGAGTTACGCTCTCTGTTGTCAAATGTATTCTTTTTGCTCTTAAAAGTTAGGAGCTTGTATGCATCATCTAAACCCGGGGATTGACTTTTTTCATAAATATATTTATTTATGTATTTGCATATTAATAATTTGGGACTTGTTTTTTGATTCACCCACATACTTTTGGCACATAATTTGGGACTTGTTTTTTGGATTTCGCTCACATTTTTTGGCACATGTTCACATTTATGAATGTTGTTGTTCAGTCGCACAGTCGAGTTCAACTCTTCACGACCCCATGGACCAGATCACGCCAGGCCTTCTGGTCTTGTGAATAGGATAGGATTTAACCAACCGAACAATGGGTTGAAATTATATCAGAACAGTTTTCGGCTAAACATTAGGAAGAACTTCCTGACAGTCAGAGTGGTTCCTCAGTGGGACAGGCTTCCTCCGGAGGTGGTGGGCTCTCCTTCTTGGGAGGTTTTCAAGCAGAGGCTAGATGGCCATCAGACAGCAATGCCGATTCTGTGAACTGAGGCAGTTCATGAGAGGGAGGGTGGGAAGGGTTGCCTCAGTGCTTGGTTCTCGTGGCCCTTTCTTACATGCCCAGGGGAATCCCGATCGCCACTTTGGGGTCAGGAAGCCATTTTCCTATGGGACAGCTTGGCCAGGGATCCTGGAGGGTTTTTTACCATCTTCTGGGGTCAGGTGTGCGTTGGGGGGAGGTATTTGTGAATTTCCCGCACTGTGCAGGGGGTTGGACTAGATGACCCTGGAAGCTCTTTCCAACTCTATGATTCTAATCTCATGGGTGGCTGCTTCAGAGCAGGAAAGGAGTGTTGGAATGAAATGCCGTAATCGCCAGTATTTATACCTTCCATTGTTACAAATCCTTTTTAGAAGCTCTAAAAGGTCTTCAGAAGGATTTCCCTTCGTCGCTCAAAGGTTGCAGCGCATTGTGCCTTGGTTGTTGTTTTAGCAGGAGGGGTGAACTCTGCCCCCGTGTGCCATAGTAGGGCTTGATCATGGGGCTTGCTGGTCACTTTAGTATGCGCAGGCCACGCTTGGAGGCTTTCCCCCCAGCAGTTTTTTATTTATTTATTTATTTATTTAGGTATTTTTATTCCGCCCTCCCCGCAAGCGGGCTCAGGGCAGCTAACAAGAGGGCAAACGCTCATATATAAAATCCAATAAACATTAAAATCATAACTATAACAATATATCAATAATAACAGTAAAATGTGCTTCAGTAGACAAGATGGTCTTAGATGTTATGGTGGCATCTTCCAGTCAGCCCCATTTGGGGTACCACTGTCCAGCAGATCGTTCCAATCCCATGTTGTTCATGCCACACAATGTATGGCTGAGCATCCCAGGGCGATTCCTAATCCCGATGGTATTGCCTCCGTTGGTGGTGGTGGCAGCGGCGGCCCCTATATGAAAGCCTGGTGGAAGAGCTCCGTCTTGCAGGCCCTGCGGAACTGCATAAGGTCCCGCAGGGCCCTGATCTCCTCCGGGAGCTCGTTCCACCAGGTAGGGGCCGCCACTGAGAAGGATCTCGCCCTGGTCGCAGCAAGTTTTACCTCCCGAGGACCTGGAATCACCAAACGGTTTTGGGTCCCCGACCGAAGTTCTGCATTCCCACTTTTGACGTCTTGTGATGTAAGCAATAGAGGAAGTTGCCTTATTGTGAATCAGGCCCATTGGCCAGTGTGGTCCACCACAGTCCCCTTTGATTGGCATCCAACCTGCAACGTTTCAAGCAGGATTCCCCCCCCCCCCCCAAGCCCTGGGGATAAAAACACAGAGCTGGAAGGGACCACCAGGGTCATCTAGTCCAACCCCCTGCACAGTGCAGGAAATTCACAGCTGCCTTTCCTCTCCTCCCCCCACTACCCCAGTGACCCCCGCTCTATGCTCAGAGGAAGGGAAGAAACCTCCCCCAAAAAACCTCATGAAAGCTCACACACTGTCACAGATTTTGCCAGTCTTTAAGATGCTCCTGGACTCTTGCTCTTTTCTGTTGCTACAGACAGACTAACACGGCTGCCCATCTTGATCTGCCTTTGATAGTTACGCTCTCTTTGCAGGTAGACACTGGCTTTTATGACTGACTTTGGAGAATTTTGGAGTGCACTTAACATTTCCATCCAGTGTGGTGCTGGTTGTTTGTGGTTTCTTTAAATGTTGATTTTGTCAGGGTCCTTAGTCAGGCTACGCAACACAGGGCTTCATGAGAAGATAACTGTTTATTGGTAGATCCAGTACTAGAAACACGTGTACAACTTGTGTCAGGAATGGCCGCCCATACTAGGGCCTCTGACTTATGCTAGAATCAAACAACCCCCCCTGTAAGCATGAGCCAATGGATACATCTCGCGTGCGTGGGCAAAGCAAGCAGGCAAAGCAAAAAGCCGTTCATTTTCCCAGCCGGGTAAAACTGCAGCTGGAGCATCTACAAGGTCAAGCATAAGATCGCAAACAGTTGGTCAGCCAGGGAGAGCCGAGACAGAAAACGGGAGGGCACCCCTCCACATTCCAGGCTTATGACAGGGCTACCTGACATCTTGTACTAAAACTGATCACTACTAATCCTCAGTCAAAACTGTCATTTAGTTAAAAAAAAAATGATTCATTTAATCAGAGAAAGGTGAATGCCTTATTGTAGTACATGGCAAGGCCAGACTCAGTATAACTTCCCCAGTCTTGATGACGCATTGCTAGCGTGCATTCATTCATTCGATGTTGTTGTTTTTTAATTGCAGGATTGCAGAAAAAGACAAACTCATCGGCCAAGCTGAGGAATCCTTAGCTGATGAACGGATGAAAGCAACCAGCAAGGAAGAGGATCTATTGGTACAGTAAAAGCTCAGACCTTACCTGGGGGAGCAGGGTAGTGGAAAGCGCCATCGAGTCGCAGCCAAGTTATGATAAACCCGTAGGATTTCCAAGGCAAGAAATGTTCAGAGGTGGTTTGCCACTGCCTGCCTCTGCGTAGCAACCCCGGACTTCCTTGGCCATCTCCCAGCCAAGTCCTGACCAGGGCCAGTGTTCCCTCTCAGCTGAGTTAGTGTGAGCTAGCTCACAGTTTTTTAGCCCCTGGCTCACACATTTTTTGTCTTAGCTCAGGAAGGGATGGCTCCAGAGCAAAACTAATTTAAGCAGTAGCCAAATGGCTCGCTCACCACTTTAATGCCGGTAGTTCGCAAAGCAGAATTTTTGCTCACAAGACCAGGGCTGACCCTGCTTAGCTTCTGAGATCTGCAAGGCAAAAATAGACCATGGTAACTGACCAGGCAGGCAAACAAAAGAAAAACATGCCATAAAGTAGATTTGAAATAGTAATAAAACACACACAGACATTCAAGCAATTCACTAGGAATTCAGTAAAGGAATATATGCTGTAGCATAAAACAGAGGTTTCCATTTAGTCTTCAAAACTAACGACCGATGGATGCGTCCTCCATGAACTTGTAGAGCAAGACACGGTGCCTTCAGTTCCCCAGGAGAAGGGGGATGAACTTGGAGCCAGAAAATGCATTGTGGGAGAATCTCTTTCACCTGACATTTCTTGGCCTTCCTGCTGCAGAGTTGCTTTGCGAGGGTGCATCCTTTGACCGTGAGTGACCCTAGCATTGTGGCCCAAAGAGGATGGCTGGAAACGTCCTTCCCGAATGTGGACCTTGTTTCTTCTCTTTCCAGGCTCTACAGAACATGAACATGTCCTTGAAAGCAGAAATGCAGAAGCTGCAGGCTCTGACGAATGAAAAGGTAAACAAGCCTCTTGTGCTCCTCGAGGGGAACCCTACCTCTTTATTAGTGATGCCGAATATTATTTGTGCATGCTCAGATGCAAGGGTTTTGGAAAGTAATCCTGCAGAGGGTGAGAGAGAGACTACGTTGGCTGTCACAGCCGTCTGGTGCAAATCTCTCGTTTTATCGACAAAGAAATCTTAACTGTTTGCCCAGGTCCTCATTTTGAAGGTAACAGCTCCAATTTGCCCTCCAACCTGGAATCCTCTTCTTACCCTAATTGTGGGCTTCATCCGTATCCATTAGAAATTATGTCGCGTTCTCATGGGGCCAGTTCTGGAAAGATTTGTGACGGGCCTCTCCTGGGTGTCGGGGGTGTGTGTTCCCACCGGTAGCCGTGGTTTCAGGCTGGGGTGTGCTGGCAGTTGGGGGTGGAGCCACAAAAGGGAGCCGCGATGGGACCTCAGAACGGCAGAGAACGGGGTTAGCAGCACCCCTCAGGTTCCTCTGCCCCGTGTGCTGGAGATCACTCGCCCTAGCTCTCTCTCTCTCTAGCCGTCGTGCGTAGTGTCTCCTTCTCACTCTCCAAGAGCCCCTCTTTTTATTCCCCATGCTCCCCTGCCAGCGCCGCCCATCTTCCCCGCCTCCCTCCTCCCCCATCTGGCCCCGCCCTCGTTCATAGGCCAGGACGCTCCTCGGGCGTCTGGGGTGTGGTCAGCGGTGAGCCGGTGGCGGTCTTCTCGGCCTGGGGCCGCGCCGCCGGGTGCCGTGGCCAGCTTCCGTTGTTGCCCCGGTGGACTGGGGCAAGATTGAAGGTAAAAGGAGAAGGGGACAGCAAAGGATGAGATGGTTAGACAGTGTTATCGATGCAACGGACATGCAATTGAGCAAACTCTGGAGGACGATGGAGGACAAGAGGGCCTGGCGTGGTCCATGGGGTCGCAAAGAGTCGGACTCGACTGTGTGACTGAACAACACAAGGGCAAGGTTCCCCAACGTGGTGCCCATGGGCGGCAGGGCTCCCGCAGACACCTTTCTTGATGTTCATCAAATGTTTTTAGAAAGGGGGCGGGGTCAGGTGAGGCTTTTGCCCAGCAGGGTTTCTGATTGGCCACTGAGATCTGATTGGCAGCGCAGAGTTTTAAGACGTTGTCTTGGCAGCAGGTATATGTATGCGAGTAAATATTTTGTACACAATATGGTCATTTTAGATTTCTGTTCACTGTACCTGTGGTGTCCTGCTTATTGGGAGACTGTTTCTCCTTTAAAACGCACTCTGTGTACTTGAACTTAGTAGATTTCTGCTGCCACTAGGAATTAAAAGAACAAAATGGGTTTCTGGGTATTTTTGGACTGTTGTTGAAGAAAGAAAATATAACTGACAAAGCTTGGCGTCACACACAGTCTCTCAAACACCAAAGCTCAACTCTGACAGGCTTATCTCTCTCTCACACACACACAGCCACACAGGCTAAACTCTCTTGCTCATACAGCCACACAGGCTAAACTCTCTTCACAACTCTCCACACTCGTATCTTCCAGAACACAGCATCACCTCAGAGACATCCGTCCTCCCACATTCTCAGTCATCAGCCAATCACATCACACTCATCTCCCTCTGTCACTCTCCTTACATTACTGCAGTCAAACGAAACGTTTAAAGAAACACACACACCAAAACAAGAAATCATTACGACACCTCTTGCCTGAAATATTGAAGAGTGACTGTTAGAGTTATGCCCGTCCTCCCTTGCTGAGATTTTGTGGTTGGCTTGACGGATGTAGACGAGGGCGGGCTGAGGTTGGAGAAGGAGTCGTTGGATTTGGGCCAGGGAGATGTGAGTTCAAATCCCCTCTAAGCCACAAATCTCAACCCCACAATTATAGAACAACCACCTGGCCCCTTCACTTTCAGTCTTTAGGAAGCAGCTGAAGACGATTTCATTTAGGACTTCATCTGGCTACATTGACTGGCAGTCCTTTGTGATTCTAAATCTCGGCTTTTGATGCCACTCTGGGGTTGGGAAGGAATTTCCATCCAGGCCAGATTGGCCCAGGGATCCTGGAGATTTTTTTTTTGTCTTCCTCTGGGCATAGAGTGGGGGGTGGTGGTCAGTGGGAGAGTGGGGGGCAGTAGCTGTGAATTTCTTGTGTTGCGCAAGGGGGGCTGGACTAGATGACCCTTGGGGGTCCCTTCCAGCTCTCCGTTTCTGTGTTCTTAATGTAGTTTGCTTGATATGTTTTATTTATGTCGTACACCGCCTTGAGCTCCATATGGAAGGAAGGCAGCTGGTAAATATTTTAAACAAATCGTTTAGCTTGGAGAAAAGAAAGCCAAGGATTGGGGTGGGGAGAGACATACGTGTGCAATTTGTAAAGACGTTGTAACTCCAGGGGACTCACTCTGATAGTGCTCTTGGTAGGGTTGCCAAGTATAGCTTACCTCCCCAGCGGGGGACTCCCGGGTGGATCCACGTCACCAGGAAGTGACGTTATGATGCCGGGCACGCTGGGGGGCGGGGCCACGACCATTCGAGGGGAAACCATAGAGTGCCTGGCGTCATAACGTCACTTCCGGGTGACACGCATGCCAGGGTGGGGTTCCCCCCGGGGCCCGATTCCGCGGCGGCAGATATCGGGCCTCCAAAGTGGGGGTTTACCCGCCCCCACTTGGCAGCCCTAGCTCTTCGTCCTGGCCGTGGGCGCAAAGGAGGGAACTCCTCAGGGTTGGCACACGTGGTTCTCTCCATCCACCCCCCCCCCCTGGACTGCTTCACAGCCAAGAGGGGATCTGGACCAGGTCTACTCAGACCTGCAACTGCCACAACACACAGACTCCCCGACCTTTTTGAGCCTGCGGGTGCCTTTGGAATTCTGACGCAGCGGGGAGGGCACGGCCACGAAAGGGCAGCCGCAGAACTCAAAGCCGGCCACAAACGGGCTGCCGTAGCTTCCCTTCCATCCCCCGGTGAAGCTCCTCGTGCCGGGGTGGCAGCTCTCCTGCCAAGGCAGCATTTTTAAAAATCCGCACAGCTAAGCAGATCTCTGACGGCCAGTCGGAAGCCCCGCTGTACAAAAGCCCCACCTCGCCAGGAAAGATGGGCACCACGTTGGAGACCCCGGTGTACAGAAATCCTGTTGCCACTCAGCTTTAGCACAGCTAAGCAGATCTCTGACGGCCATTCGGAAGCCGCGCTGTACAAAAGCCCCACCTCGCCCCACTCTCTTTCTAAAAACAGCTGGCAGGCGCCAGGAAAGACGGGCACCACGTTGGAGACCCCGGTGTACAGAAATCCTGTTGCCACTCAGCTTTAGCTTGCCTCGTGTGCTCTTTCGGATCCTTTGCGTGGGCAGTGTATTTCATGGTCCGGAGCAGCAGCGTCCCGAGCGCCAGCATCCCTCCGTCGGAAATAAAGTGCTTTCCTTGAAAGCATTGAAGCAGAACGTGGTTTCATTGAGCAGATACGGCCGCGTGTGCTTGCTCTGTTTCAGAGGCAGGGAAGAAAACGAGCACCGCTGCTCCTCTCTGCTTCCAGGGGAGAGATGGGCGCAGGGAGAGGCCGAAAGGGCCAGGCTCGGTCTCCGAAGCTGGCGGGCGGTGGGGTTCACAGAGAGTCCGGCTGCAATCTGACACACTGAGTGACGCTTAATCCTCTTTATACCTAGGCGGCGGCTGCGCTCGAGGTGGAAAGGATGCAGAAAAGGTAAATCGTGGGGTCTGATAAACCTTCATGCAGCAGGGGCGGGGGCGGGCAAGTCCGGCGTGCAGTGCCGTAGCGAGGAAGCGCCCATCCCCCTTTTAACTGCTTTCCTCTCCGTCCCTCAGCACTCAGGTCAAAGATGACAAAATCAGAACACTAGAAGAGCAGCTTCATGAACACCGTTCCAAGACTACAGGCGTACAGGAGGAGCTTCAGGTACCCGATTGCCCAGGGCGAGCTTTCCCAAAGTGGGACGACTGGTTGGCAGCGGGGCGTGCCAGGGGCTGGGCGGTTTTGGAGCACGCTACAACTCTTCAACCCAAATCCGTTTTTTAAAAATTATTTTTTATTACTGGGTTTTTAAAAACAGACAAAACAAACCAGACAAAAAAATAAACAGAGCAACAGTTCCATAGAGGGGAGAGAGCAAGATCTCTCCAGAATCATAAAAACATATATGAGATAAATCAGAAACATAGTGTGGTAGTTGTAAATCAGATATGTACAAACAGTCAGTGTTCTGAAAGTAACTTCAGATATTATCTTAGATCTAAGCCAAATAATGTTTCAGGTTCAAGTTTCAAGTTATCTTCGATCTAAGCCAAATAGTGTTTCAGGTTCAAGTTTCAAAAGTATATCATTGATTTGTATAAAGGATTTGCTGGACTTAGATCAGATTCAACCATATTGTTAATGAGTTAATACCAGGATGCTATAAACTTCTCTTCAAATCTGCTAGAGGAAAGATTGAGTGTGCTAAGTTTTATTCATTTCGTAGAAAAAGAGGTGCAGGAGCTCACTAGCATAACTTATTAGCATATGCTACACCCCCTGACATCACCGGAAGTGTGTCAGAAGGCAACACCCAGCTTTCAGGCTCCACTGGACTGTTTTGGATTGCTAGCTATTGGGGGAGACTGGGACGTGCAGATCTGTCCTCACAGAGGAGGGAGAGCTTGTACCTGAATAAAACTTGGTCTTAAAGGTGCCACTGGACTGTTTTGGATTGCTAGCTGGGGGGGGGGGGCTCTGCAACTTACCTGGCTGCTTCTTGCTCCTCGTGGCCTGACTGAGGGCTGCTGGGAGCAGGGGTGGGGCTTGTTGCATGTGCCTGAACCCTGGGCTCCTTACTGCCGGAGCTCCGCTCCCGTGCGCTCCTGCAGGAAATGACCCCTGAATGAGTGAATACCAGGATGCTACAAATTTTTCTTCAAATATGCTGGAGGAGAAATCAGGTGTGCCAAGCGGTATTTTGGACACAGCAAAGTGGTCCCAGATACGATTTTGCCAGGATTGGATCGTGGGGGGCGGGGGGGGGGGAGTTTGTCTAGCCATGCCACGGCTCTGGTGTTTCTGGCTATGGCTAGCAAAGTGTGGATCAGATCAGTCTTACTCTCATTGCCCTGTGGATCTGACCCATTGTTTAGGAGTAGTGTTAATAAAGTTCTCTTGCCTGCGTTCTGTTTGTATATTAGAACTAAATGCAGAAAGCTTACCCGAAAGGAAATAATTGGGGAGAGAAAGAGTTAAGTTAATGCTGGGCCGTTAGGCGCAGTCCAGGCTGCATGAGCGTTAAGGAGAATAGCGAATAGCGACTCTGAAAGCACACTGCATTACACGTCTGTCCCCAGCACCACTTATGCGCACCTGGGATTTCTTGGTGTCTCTGCACCTCGTAGGCCTCGTGCGTGGTCGTTAAGAGATGGGGAAAAGGCCCCAAACTGTATATGCCTTAATCGGCCCCCCCCCTCCCCTTTTCTTTCCAGTTGTAATCTCATTGTTCTGTGTTCCATCATCGTGGTGTTAACAATGGTTAAGGCCAGGGGTCATTTCCTAAAAAAAGAGGCGCATTAGCATACTTCATTTGCATATGCCACACCCCCTGACAAAGGGTAGGCAAGCAGGCAGACATGTCTGGGTCCCCTGCCTGATCTTCTCCAGGTGCCCCGCGGCCGTGGGGCGCCTGGAAAAGATCGGGCGGTGAACCCAGGCATGTTTAGAATGCCTTTATTTCCCTTCCCTACATGGGGAAGGGAAAGAAAGGCATTTAAATCCCCCCAGGTGGCGGCGGCGGCGGGGGGGGGCTCTGCAAGCCTTCACTGGCCCATCCGCCTTGGCCGGGGGGCCAGGAAAGGCGGTGGGGGGGCGCCCCTAGGTTCCTTACTGCCAGAGCGCCGTTCCGGCGCGTTCCGGCATGAAATGACTCCTGTTTATGGCTAACCATCTGTCAGTGCCCTGACCTGGACAGCCCAGGCGAGCACGATCTCAGAAGCTAAGCAGGGTCGGCCCTGGTCAGTATTTGAACGGGAGACCACCAAGGACTTCCAGGGCTGCTACGCAGAGGCAGGCAATGGCAAACCACCTCCGAAAATCTCTTTCCTTGAAGATCCTAACGGGGGCGCCAGAAGTCAGCCGCAACTGGACAGTAAAAAGGGAGGCAAACTAGTTGATGGGCAGTCGATTCTGGACAGACGAAAGGCATTATACAGAGAGCGATTAAAAAAAAATGTAATTTGCTGCCAGAGGCTGTAGTGATGGCCACAGGCATAGACAGCTTTAAAGGAGGGTTAGATTCATAGAGGAGAGGTCTATCAGTGGCTGCTAGTCATGGTGACTGAATGGAACCTCCATGTTCAGAGGCACTAAGCCTGTGAGGCCCAGTGCCAGGAGGCAATATCAGGGAAAGACCTCGGTCTTCGTGTCCTGTTGTTGGATCTCCAGAGGAACTGGCTGACCACTGTGTGTGACACGAGATACTGGACTAGATGGACCACTGGTCTGATCCAGCAGGGCTCTTCTGATATTCTGCCTCGGCCTCTGTGCCCTGTTGCTGGCCCTCCAGAGGAACTGGTTGGCCACTGTGTGAGAGAAGATGCTGGACTAGATGGACCGCTGGTCTGATCCAGCAGGGCTCTTCTGATATTCTGCTGAAGGCCTCGGCCTCTGTGCCCTGTTGCTGGCCCTCCAGAGGAACTGGTTGGCCACTGTGTGAGAGAAGATGCTGGACTAGATGGACCGCTGGTATGATCCAGCAGGGCTCTTCTGATGTTTTAACCAGAATTCCCTCTTAATCAAGGCTCGCTGATAACAAAAGAAGCCTCCAAATATGCAATATGACATGGCCTATGAAACATCTTAAGATCTCTTTTTAAGAAGGCTGTTGAAAGGTCAAAGTGTGCTGTGGTGCAGAAGTAAAGGGGAGGGGAGGTTCTTCCGTATGCTGCCAATGTAGTTGGGTGCCTTGCTGTATCTGATTTGCTTAGTGGCGTGAAGCAGTCAGAGAGGAAACTAAGCTTTGTTATTTTAATGGGAGACTGAATCATATGCTTGACGATCCTTTGGTGGGACTTCAAAGTGCTTAAGTTTGGCTTCGGTTGTATTCCAAGATTTTTCCTTTTTCCTATCAGAAACGTGTGTATCACTTGCATTGCTCACAGTGTGCTCTGGTTACACCCAGTGTTTTGGGGGGTTTGGAGCAAATAAAAGCTGGAAGGTTGCTTAATCAACCTTTCAGATGTAGAAAAGAGCAAGAGTCCAGGAGCATCTTAGACAAACAAAAATTGTGGAAGGGGAGGAGTTTTTGTGAGTCATGGCTCACTTCATATACTCACGTTAGTCTGTCTGTAGCAATAGAAGAAGAAGAGGAGGAGGAAGAGACTGGATTTATATCCCGCCCTTCACTACCCAAAGGTGTCTCAGAGCGGCTCACAAGCTCCTTTCCCTCCCCCTCCCCACAACAGGCACCCTGTGAGGGAGGTGGGGCTGAGAGAGCTCTTGACAGAAACTGCTCTTTTTCGAGAACAGCTCTTGTCAGAACTACGGCTTGCCCAAGGTCATCCAGCCAGGTGCAAGTGGAGGAGTGGGGAATCAAACCCGATTCTCCCAGACTAGAGTCCGCGCACTTAACCACTACACCAAACTGACTCTCTTGGTGAGAGCAAGAGTCCAGGAGTACCTTAAGGGCTAACAAGATTTGTGGCAGGGGATGAATCTTCTTTGGGTATCTGAAGAACTGAGCAGCGTCACAATTCTTGTTTGCCTTTATTTATTGATTGATTTGATTTTTACCCCACCCTCCCAGCCAGGGCAGGCTCAGGGCGGCTTACATAAGAAAACAGTAAATAAGACAACAATATAAATATCCATATAAAATACACAAAAGTCATTAATACCATTAACATAACGATGGCGGTACAGCTGTAGTAATGTGCTTTCAGCGGTACATCCACTATCGGCGAGCTCAGACTGGAAATAGAATTGGCCCAGGGCATAGATGGTAACGTGGCTCCTTACCTACATTCGCGGCCCTGTGGAACTGTGAGAGGTTCCGCAGGGCCCTGATCTCATCCGGAAGCTCATTCCAGTACGTTGGAGCTGCCACAGAAAAGGCCCCGGTCCTGGTCGATACCAGCCTGGCGACTTTAGGACCGGGGGGGGTGTCAATTTTGCGACCCGGACCGTAGTGCTCTCTGTGGAACCTGAAAGTGCTGCTGGACTCTTGCTCCTTTCTACATCTAGAAGGCTGATTAAGCAGGCATGGCTACTTGCCTCTAACCAGTCCACGTGGCCTCCGCAAGGACTCCCAGCCCCATCCAGGAGCTTCCCCGAGGTAGCTGTGTTAGTCTGTTGCTGCAAAATAGTCCAAGAGTTCAAATAGCACCTTTAAGACTAACCTTAAAGACTAAGACTAAGTGAGTGGTGGGTGTCGCCTTATGACACACTTCCGGTGATGGCAGGGGGTGTGGCCTTATGACACACTTCCGGTGATGGCAGGGGGTGTGGCATATGCTAATGAGTTATGCTAATGAGTTCCTCTAGCTCTTTTTCTACGAAACCATCCCTGGTGATGATTCCTTAGCAGTGTTGGGTGCTTCCCCAAGGAGCCTGCCTCCAGGGCGAGAGGCTTGTGCATTTGTTTCCTGTTCCCAAACCTTTGAGATGCTCTTTAGCATGCACCGTGTCTCCACCTCGCCCCAGCTGTTCATTTCTTCCCTTGCTCAATCCTTCCTCCGTTTGTCCTATTTGGCCTTCGAAGCAGACTCCTTTGCTCGGTGTTCTTTAAAAGGCCCTGCAGCATCTGAAGTACTTTTCAAGTTTCCTTTATACCCGTCCCTTCTGCTTCAGGGATTCCAGTCATTTTCCACAAAACATCTTCCCCATCTCCGGAGTGCTTCATATATATGATCTCTGTAAGCCTGTGTGAAGTATCCCTCGAAAGCCTGGTGCCGTGTGTGGGAGTGTTGGTAAAAAGGGTCTTCGCCCTCTGAAATCAATGAGCCTTGCTTTTAAGAACGTAAGGGAGACCCCTGCTGGATCAGACCAGGGGTTCATCCAGTCCAGCATCCCCTCTCACACAGTGGCCAGCCAGTTCCTCTGGAGGGCCAACAACAGGGCACAGAGGCCAAGGCCTTCATTAGAACATCAGGAGAGCCCTGCTGGATCAGACCAGTGGCCCATCTAGTTCATCATCCTGTCTCACACAGGGGCCAACCAGTTCCTCTGGAGGGCCAACAACAGGGCAGAGAGGCCGAGGCCTTCATAAGAACATCAGGAGAGCCCTGCTGGATAAGACCAGTGGACCATCTAGTCCAGCATCTTGTCTCACACAGTGGCCAACCAGTTCCTCTGGAAGGCCAACAACAGGGCATAGAGGCCAAGGCCTTCATAAGAACATCAGGAGAGCCCTGCTGGATCAGACCACTTGTCCATCTAGTCCAGCATTCTGTCTCACACAGTGGCCAACCAGTTCGCCTGGAGGGCCAACAATGGGGCATAGAGGCCAAGGCCTTCATTAGAACATAAGAAGAGCCCTGCTGGACCAGTGGCCCATCTAGTCCAGCATCCTGTCTCACACAGTGGCCAACCAGTTGCTCTGGAGGGCCAACAACAGGGCAGAGAGGCTGAGGCCTTCATAAGAACCTTAAAACAGCTCTGCTAGATCAAGACCAAGGGTCCATCTAGTCCAGCCTCCTGTCTCACACAGTGGTCAACCAGGTCCACTGAAGGGCCAACAGCAGGGCAGAGAGGCCGAGGCCTTCATTAGCCGAGGCCTTCATAAGCAGAGGTCCATCAGTGGCTATTAGCCACAAGGTATAGATAGGGACTCTGGGGCAAGTGATGCTCTGTCATCTTGGTGCTTGGGGGGGGGTCAACAGTGGGAGGGCTTCTAATGTCCTGGCCCCACTGGTGGACCTCCTGAGGGCACTGGTATTTCTGGCCACTGAGTGACACAGAGTGTTGGACTGGATGTGCCTTTGGCCTGATCCAACATTGGTATCTCTTATGTTCTTATGTTCTTAACATCAGAAGAACCCATCTAGTCTAGCATCCTGTCACATGCAGTGGCCAGCCAGTTGTCAGCCAGGTCTGACAACAGGACACAGAGTCCGAGGCCTTCCCCTGATGTTGTTGCCTCCTGGCTCTGGGATTCAGAGGATCAGTGCCTCTGAATGTGGAGGTTCCCCTCAGTCACCATGGCCAGTAGCCATCGATAGACTTATCCTCCATGAATTGGTCTAATCCTCTTTTAAAGCTGTTTATTCCTGTGGCCATCACAACGTCCTCTGGCAGCGAAATCCCCATTTCAATCGCTCTCTGTGTAAAGAAGTATTCCCTTTTGTCCATCCTGAACCTACTGCCCATCAGTTTCATTGGATGCCCCCAAGTTCTAGTATTTGGGGAGAAGAAGAAAAAGTTCTCTTTGTCAACACTCTGCATGCATAGTTTTATAAGCCTCTCTCATGTCCCCCCTTCCCCACAGTTACGTCCTCATCTGACAGTTTGTTGTAGTGGTTAGGAGCACAGACTCTAATCTGGGAGAACCGGGTTTGATTCCCCACTCCTCCACTTGTAGCTGCTGGTGTGACCTCAGGTCAGTCACAAGTTTTCTCAGAGCTGTTCTCTCAAGGGCAGTCCTTGAGAGAGCTCTCTCAGCCCCACCTACCTCACAGGGTGTCCGTTGTGGGGAAGGGAAAGGAGATTGTAAGTCGCTCTGAGACTCCTTCGGGTAGTGAAGGGCGTGATATAAATCCAAGCTCCCCTTCTGCCCCTGCAGTAGATCAATGGCAAGCCATTGTTGCCCAGGCAGGAATCACTGCCTGTTGGGTATCTATTAATTCATCTAATAAATAAATCTAACGTTTCAGTGAATAAACGCTTCATTTGTACCCCATCTTCCTCCCCAGTGGGGACCCAAAGCGGCTTGCCTCAGTCTCCTCCTCTCCATTTTCTCCTCACAAAAAACCCTGTGAGGTAGGTCCGGCTGAAAGGGTGTGCAGCTGGCCTGAGCTCCCCAAGTGACCTTCCATGGCGTGTGTAAACCTGGTGTGAACCTGGTTCTTCCAGGCTGACACTCCATTCACTGCTTCACGCTGGCTCACATTGGGTACCAAACCCCAAAGCCCGACTCTCTGATCTTCTCGCTCTGTTCCAGGACCTAAAGGATCAAAACGCAAGTTTGCACATGGAAATTCAGAAGCTGCACGCCTCCTTGTCGGAGCAGGTAGGCGCGTCTTTGCGGTTCAGAAGTTGAAATAAATAAATGACTCAATCGGACTTCTACAAAAGCACAGCATGCACGCGGGATATCTCATCGGCTGCCGAGGTTTCCTTCCCACTCAAATGCTAGCGGTCCTTTGACATGAACTCAAGATCTGTTTTGGCAGCCGGAAGGTTCAAGCCATCTTGGTACCTCCGGCCACGTTCGGAGGGTGGTGCTTTGTGGATGAGCGATGTTCTAGGAGCCACAGCGGATGTTGCTCCTCCGGCAGAGTGGTGCAGGCTCGCTGGTGGCTCGACTACTGAGGCTTAGAACCATACAATCACAGAGCTGGAAGGGGTCCCTACAGGCCATCTAGTCCAACCCCCTGCTCAATGCAGGATCAGCCTAGAGCAGTGGTGGCGAACCGATGGCACGGGTGCCCGAGGTGGCACTCAGAGCCCTCTCTGTGGGCACACGTGCCATCGCCCCAGCCAGTTCCAGACCATCATTAAAGTGTCGAATTCTCTGCCAAATAATTTTAAGTAAATGAAAGCATTTGGGATTGCTTTCCTTACTTTGTTTGGATCATCTTAAGTTAACGTATGGGTTGTTTTTTCTAAAGTAAAACCTCAGTATTCAGGTTAAATTGCCGTGTTGGCACTTTGCGATAAATAAGTGGGTTTTGGGTCGCAGTTTGGGCACTCGGTCTCTCAAAGGTTCGCCATCACTGGCCGAGAGCATCCCTGACGAGTGTTTGTCCAGCTGCTGCTCAGAGACTGCTGGTGAGGGGGAGCTCGCCACCTCCCGAGGCGGCCCATTCCACTGCCGAACTACTCTTTTTACGGCTGTGCCCACCCAGGGGTCATTTTGTAGAAAAAGAGGTGCATGAGCTCATTAGCATAACGTATTAGCATAGCTCATTTGCATATGCCACGCCCCCTGACATCACTGGAAGTGTGTCAGAAGGCAACACCCCCACTCAGGCTCCAGTGGACTGTTTTGGATTGCTAGCTATTGGGGGGGGGCTGAACGCGTAGATCTGCCCTCACAGAGGAGGGAGAGCTTGTACTTGAAGGTGGGCCGGGGGGGGAGGGGGGCTCTGCAACTTGCCTGGTTGCTTCTTGTTCCTCATGGCCTGACTGAGGGCTGCTGGGAGCAGGGGGTGGGGCTTGTTGCATGTGCCCGCCCCCTGGGCTCCTTACTGCCGGAGCTCCGCTCCTGTGCAGTCCCGCAGGAAATGACCCCTGTGCCCACCAGATCATGTCCGAATTCCAAAGATGCCCACAGGCTCAAAAGAGTTGGGGGATGCCTGTCCTCGTGGGCAAATCACAGCCTTCGTATTTGCCTGCCTGGTGGTCTGACGGAAGCACTCGTGTTCTTAGAACAGAGGCAGGCATGTTGGGTCGTCTGCTCCAGATGGCAGCAGGGTATTAGCCCCTCTGCGCTCACGCTGCCTGACCCAGAAACACGTTTTGATGCAGCGGAGGCCGGGGAACAGGAGCAACAGAGATCTGGAAATATTGCTGCGGTAATCGGGTTTCACGGGGTCGTGGCAGGAGCGGGCAGTGTTTCGTCTGGCTTTGCCACTTTGGATATTCTCAGCTTCTCCCCTGCCTTCTAAGGTAGCATGACGCTTTGGGATGCAATGAGTCCACGGTTACACCTGACTGGAAACGTCATGTTCTGTAAGAAATGTGCTAGCCTGCAGGGCGGCTGTCCCCAACATGGGGCCCGTGGGCTCCACGGTGACCTCCGACACCTTTTGTGTCTGGCGCCGTCTCCTGCCACAGGCCACCACACCGTGTCGGCATTCTGAAGGCGCCTGCAGGCTCAGAAAGGTTGGGGACGCCTGCTGCTGGGGCACGGGTGGCTCTTTGTCATGTTTTCTCCTACGGGCTGTTGCAGCTCCCTTTTGAGGCTCTGCAGCCACAACGTTAGCTCTGGGTGAGGAATGGGAACTGTGTTGTTAGCAGGGGTCATTTCCTGCAGGAACGCACAGGAGCGGAGCTCCGGCAGTAAAGAGCCCAGGGGGCGGGCACATGCAACAAGCCCCACCCCCTGCTCCAAGCAGCCCTCAGTCAGAGCAAGAAGCAGCCAGTTCAGTTGCAGAGCCCCCCACCCCCCCGGCCCCAGCCCCCCGGTCCAAAACAGTCCAGTGGCACCTTTAAGACCAAGTTTTATTCAGGTACAAGCTCTCCCTCCTCTGCGAGGACAGATCTGCACGCCCCCCCCCTCCAATAGCTAGCAATCCAAAACAGTCCAGTGGAGCCTGAGCGGTGGGTGTTGCCTTCCGACACACTTCCGGTGATGTCAGGGGGTGTGGCATATGCAAATAAGTTATGCTAATGAGTTATGCTACTGAGCTCCTGCACCTTTTTTTCTATGAAATGACCCCTGGTTGTTAGTAATGCTCCCTCTGAGCTGTGGAGTCTTGTGAGCAAAACTTCTACTTCGTGAGCTCCTGGTATTAATATTGTGAGCAAGCGATTTGGCCACTGCATAAATTAGTTTGCTCTCGATCCATCCTTCCTGAGCGAAGACAAAAATGTGTGAGCTGGAGGCTAAAAAGCTGTGAGGTAGCTCACACTAACTCAGCTTAGAGGGAACACTGGTTGTTAGGCTCTAAGACCTGCCTTAAATGGAGGAAACTAATGCTCCTCTTTGGCCAAGGCAGAAGTAGTTCCCAGTCCCTGCATCAGAGATGCTTTAACTGGATGGAACCAAGACTGAACCTGGCCCTTCCTGTATTCGAGTGAGACAGAAGTACTGCAGAGCACCACATCTGGCGGAAGAGGGACTTGCAGCTGGCGTTGACAAAGCTGCTGAAGTTCCCCGAGGCCAGGAACTGATAGGGAGTCTCGGGTTGGTGTAGTGATTATGAATGGTGGACTCTAATCTGGAGAACCGGGTTTGAATCCCCACTCCTCCACATGCAGTTGCTGGGTGACCTTGGGCCAGTCACAGTTCTCTCAGAGCTGTTCTCTCAAGAGCAGTCCTCAAAAGAGCTCTCTTGGCCCCACCTACCCCACAGGGTGTCTGTTTTGGGCAGAGGAAGGGACAGTGATTGTAAACCACTCTTGAGACTCCCAAGGACAGGGCAGGGCAGGGTATAAACCTAGTTTCCTCCTCCCCCTCCTTCGCTGTGGAATGGATAGCCAAGAGGGAGGGGCCACGGCTCAGTGGCAGAGCATCTGCTCGGCATGCAGAAGGTCCCTGGTTCAATCCCCGGCATCTCTGGTTAAAAGGATCAGGCAGTAGGTAAAGACCCCTCTGCCTGAGACTCTGGAGAGTTGCTACCAGAGTAGAAAATACTGAGGCTGATGGACCAAGGGTTGGATTCAGTATAAGAAGAAGAAGAGAAGAGATTGGATTCACTACCCGAAGGAGTCGCAGAGCGGCTTACAAACTCCTTTCCCTCCCCCTCCCCACAACAGACACCCTGTGAGGCAGGTGGGGCCGAGAGAGCTCTTTCAAGGACTGCCCTTGAGAGAACAGCTCTGAAATAGAAGAGATGAGATTGGATTTATACCCCACCCTTCACTAATCACTACCCAAAGGAGTCTCAGAGGGGCTTGCAATCTCCTTTCCCTTCCCCTCCCCACAGCAGACACCCTGTGAAGTAGGTGGGGCTGAGAGAGCTCTTGAGAGAACAGCTCTGAGGGAACTTGTGACTGACCCAAGGTCACCCAGTTGGCTGCGTGTGGAGGAGTGGGGAATCAAACCCGGTTCTCCCAGATTAGAGCCTGCCGCTCTTAACCACTACACCAGACTGGCTTCATGTCTTCAGGGGAACCAGGTGTGGTCCAGATATCTCAGCATCCCTCAGCAAAGCAGAATTAGTGCCTCGGAGGCCTAGACGAGGCACACCAATGCAGGAAGCCGGATTCTAAGCAGGCCGATGTTCAGCCAAAGCTGCAGAGGGAATCATTGTTTCCTTTCTCTTTTCAGGCTAATACGGAATTGTTGGAGCAAATGGAAAGAAGGTAAGAGCTGAGGGCGTGGGTGGCAGTCTGGGCGAAACCGTCGGCAACATCTCAAGTAGCCGTTGCCTGAGCTTTTTTCTCTGGGACTTTTCAAGCCTGAACCTGTAGCATGTTCACTCCAGTAGTAAGCAGCATCGCTGAGTTTAGTGATACTTAACTCCCAAGAGAGACCAGCGTGATTTTCCAGGGTAGCCCTGACCCGGATGGCCCAAGGCAGGCCCGATCTCGTCAGATCTCAGAAGCCAAGCGGGGTCGACTCTGGCAAGTACTTGGACGGGAGACCTCCAAGGAATACCAGGGCCATGACACAGAGCCAGGCAACAGCAACACACCTCTCTGAATGTCCCTTGCCTCCAAGCCC